TTTAGTACGTAGTTAGTTACGTAACAAACAACAGTTAGGTACGTATAGTGTGTTAGTTTCGTTCGGGTCGGTCGGTCGTACGTAACGTAACGTAACCGTACGTGTGTGTGTGTGTGTGTGTGTGTGTGTGTGTGTGTGTGTGTGTGTGTGTATATATATGATATATATATAATTATGTGTATATCATTATGTTGAGTGAAAGAATTAGGTATTATACAGACAGTCTTGTGTATGGCTTCTTTTACTTGACAGCATAATTTTGATATTCATTTGTACATTTTGGCATAGCAAGTTTGTTCCTTTTTTATTGCTGTGCAGATAGATGAATATACCATGAATTATTTATACATTCAATTCCTGATGGACATTGAGGTGGTTTCCAACTTGGAACTGTTACAACTAAAGTGGCTATTTGTGTACAAATAGTGTGTGGACAGAAGTTTCATTTATCTTGGGTAAATATCTAGGAGTGAAATTGCTGAGTCACAGAGTTAGGATAAGATTAACTTTATAAGAAACAGCCAAACTGATGTCCAAAGTGGCGTGCGTTTTGAATTTCCAGCAGTAATGTATGAGAGCTCCAACTGCTCTTCACCAGCACTTGACTTGCCATTTAAAAAATTTCTAACTATTCCAATGAATGTGTAGTTTTATCACACTGTGGTTTTAATTTGCACTGCCATAATGACTAAAGGTGTCGAGTATCTTTTCACGTGTTCCTTTGCCAGTGCTGTATCTTTGCTAAAATGGGTTTGGCCATTTTTATCCAGCTGCTTTTTAAATTATCATTGAATTTTAGGATATAGTTAGGATAGAAGTCCTTTATCAAATATATGTTTTGCAAATATTTTCTCTTACATCTGCCTTTTCTTAACAGTCTCTTTAAAAAAACAAAGGTTTAAATTTTGATGAAGACCAATTTATCAATTGTGTTATAGTTTATACTTTGAATGTTCTAAGAAAGGTCACAAAAAAATCTATGTTTATTTCTAAAAGTTTGATAGTTGTAATTATTATGTTTAGGACTATGATCCATTTTGAGTTAATTTTTGTATGTGGTATGAGGTAAAGATCAGAGTGCATTTTTAATTTTTTTATTTCTGATGCTCTTCTTTTTTTTTACATAGATTCAATTTCTACCTTAGTAACATTTTGTTTCTGCCTGAAGAACTTTGCTTAACAAACATTTCTTATAATGTGAGACTGCTAACAATAAGTCATCTCACCTTTTGGTTGTCTAGAATGGATCTGATTTAGCATTTATATTTCAAAGGCTTTTCTGTTGGATATAGAATTGTCAGTTAATAAAGCATTTCAACTCAAAAGATGTTACTTTATAGTCTCTAGAGAACATAATTCTGATGAAAAATCTGCTGTAAATCTTTTCTTTGTTGTTCTGTATATAGTGTCGTGGTTTTCTGCTTGCTTTCAGCATTTTCTTTTTAATA